TACCCAATGCTCCAAGAGCCCCAACATCTAGAGGTTTTTTTCCCTAAAAATTCTTTCCTCATTTTATTTCCCTGCCCTGCCTCTTCTGTATGCAGCATGCCTTGTACCGACTCTCAAATCAATTCCGTTCCTCCGTCTGTGTTTTCTTTGCAACGCGCTGATGCTGGAGCAGAAAAATGTGTTATCTACGGACAGCTTTTGTGCTAAATGGAGAGGAGCCTGTTTTTTTGTCAAAATTTCGAAACTGTCCCTTGAAATTCCTCCGCCTATTGTGATCCTAACCCTCCTACACATGGATCGCCCGGAATGAGCTGCCTTGTCTTCCGCTGCAACGGGCAGCAACTGACTTTGACAACTGACTCCCTTGTGTCTGTGTTGTGCTGGGAGGAGGCACTGAGGAAGGGACCCAAATCGTCCCCCTCTCGGAAAGAGCCCAGAAGGCCCGGCGTTGACATAGCAACTTTTGAGCCTTGCTGTTTCGCCGGATGGGGGATCGGCTCGCTGAGATAAGGAGACCACCCCCCCTCACCCCGGGCTTCCCCTCTATCCCTTCCTCGTTTCAGGGAAGTCCAGCCTCCCCATGGTTCTCGTTTCTCCACAGCGCGATCCAGATCGAACGAGGAGCCCCGCCCGAATGAAGCTTTCCTTCCTCCCTATTCGCTACTCTCCCAGCCCACTCCAAGACTAATCCTTCCCGGTGGTCCCCCTTTACCGCATTTCCACTTACCTAAGGCCTCACAGGAACCACCTCCACTTCTGACAGGGCCCGAAATAGAGTACTGTATTAGCCTGGGGCCAACGCCGTCCTGTGTCCCGCCCCCCCGTCACGTTCCTGACGTTTCCCGGCCGCGATCCAATCCCCAGGAGTTCCTGCACTTGTTTTACCGTCTCATAGGTTGCATGAAGTGCCAATCACGCTCCTTTCCTTCGTTTCGTAAGCGTCGCGACGGCGGATCGTATTAGGGCTCCCCGCTGCGAAAGTAGTTCCGTGGCAATTTACGGGTTGAGCGCGACGCGGCTACGCCACTATGCGTTCGAACGATGTAGGAAGATCCCTCCGCTGCAGTTCTCTTTCTCTTCCTCTGGCGTCTTGCCCCATGATGCCAAACCGGCGTTCTCTTTCCATCCGCACAAGTTTCGCGTAATTATCGCTCAGATCCAGTCAGTAGGAAGTGTCTGAATTGACCAACCAATCATTGAGAAAGGAGCCTTGTTACTAGGCAGATATTGTTTCGATCAGAGGTAGAAGGGGCAGTGGAGAAAGCGAAGGAGAAGCTGCTGGTGCTGTTGAGGCTGTTATCTAACCGCTGCGTTTGCATTGCCAGCATCAAGTAGAGTTGGAGGGGAAAGTATTTAACGGTCACATTTATTGCTGTTTTTCATTTTGAATGCTAAACAAAAGTGATACCAGATCCCTTCTCTCCTGCAGCGGAAAATGGCTAATAGTTGATGCACTTTAAAACTTTTCAGCATAAGCTTGAAGTTCAAGTCGGATCAGGCTCAGGTGAAGTAAAGCGGTTGGAAATCTGTCTTTGGTCAAAGAGTGATTGAGACAGGGTAGTAATGCTACAGCGAGAGAGGAGGTTTGTCTGTGGTTCTCCAACTCTTCGTATCTCGTCCTTGAGGCGAAATAACCGGTGCTTTTTTGCTTTCTTTCAAGCGCCAAGTGACTTTTCCATTTCCATTCTTTTAAATACGCTTCTTTTTCTATCTTTTAAAATTTTTACTGGTGCTCTAATAACGTTATTATGGAGCATGATAAAATATGGACTATACATCTGAGAAATAAAATAACAAGGAAAAATCATAAAACTGATCAATAGAAGTAAATCCTGAGAGGGCCCCTGTACTTTTAAGATTTGAATGGCACTAGATTGCTGAAACATTATTTTTATGCTTACATACACTCCTCAACAGAGGAAGGTGCACCTGGCAGTCCTAAACTATATATTTGCTCATGTCTGCAACATTTCCATAGATGGTCCTTGGGTAACCTTTATTTCTGCCTTATCCACAGGTAGCCTCCTCTGTGGGATATGATGTAAGATAGCACTTTGAAATATAGCACACTGCGGTGTAAATCCTGGTTTACAAGCATTGAGACAGAATTTGTCAGATATATTTCTCCCACCCTGAGAGTGCCTGGGATTCAGTCATGGCAACATTCTGTGTATATTGACTTAGAGGGAAGTCCTATTAGGCTCAAATATATATTCTCAATAAACATATGTGGCATCTGAGACTTTGGCAGCACAAATTTGTTCTAGATTTCTGCCTTGATTGTAGCATGCAGCTTGTTTAGTTGGCCTGGAAAAGTATTGGTGTAGTACTAAAAACAATTGAATGCCAGATGTGAATCTAACCAAGACCCTGAATTTCTTAATAGTACTAAAGACTAAGATACTTTTTGCCTATGCCTTACCTAATACCACTAATGTGGTATGGAAAAAAATCCAAAATTGATAGTTTTCAATTGTTATATTTAATCTCTTAAATATTTAAGTTTCTAATAATTTAGCAACTGTTAGGGGGTATCAGAGTAATAATTATCTATTAAAAGCTTCAAAATTGTAATAAGTAGAATCATGACCTTAAGGTTTTTTGTTGTTTTTTTGGGGGGAGGAGTCCTATGTTATTCACATTGTATCCAGAATAACTGGATAATTGGTTCAACAGATGTACTCCTATATATCAAGTCTTTAATGAAGTGTTAAATCTTCTGGAATATTTATTAGGCTGTTTTTGATAGGAGCACAGACAGTGATATTGAAATCTTGGTTGTTGGCAGAAGATTAATAGACTAAATGATACGTTGTTTGGAAATGTTGAAAAGACTTCATAAACCACAGAGGTTGCTGAAGAAATGGTTCTTTATCTGACACATACAGTAGTCTTCCTTTTTATTCCAACAAGTTTGATGGTTTGTTATTCTCTGACCACCAAAACGTACAAGGAGCACTGACACACTGAACATTTGACATTTGAGTCATTGAGTACAATTATGCCATTTTAAATGGATGTTTAATAGCTCTTTCATTTTCCTTTGGTTTGGGGAATTGTGTTATGTATTTCATGTAGTTTTCTTACATTATTAACGCATTAAAGAAGCATTGTAAGAAAGCATTAAAGATGTGATTTGCCATCACCTTTTTCTGGGATTTTTTTTTCAACTTCCCATTCAACAAAAGTTAATAAACTCTTTAAAAATAAATATCAGTATAAGGTATTCTCACTTCTTAAATATAATCATGATAAAGAAGTGTATATTACTGAATCCTCACAAAATATTTACAAGTATATCAATAAAAGTTATTCCCAATTTTTTCTTAATTTATAACTTAATATATCCAAAAATGTTTGGATATTAGAAAACACTTGAATATCAAAACAACATGGCATACTGGTTTAACTTGTATATCAGATATCAGTTTTAAAAAAATAATTCACAGTTGTCCAAAGGCATTGGGTAGTGGTACAAATAAACGTTTCCAAATACATCTACATCATTAACTCACATTTTCATTATTAGGTTAATTTAATGTTAATTCAAGTTATACTTGCTTACAATAATACAGTTAAACTTTTAAGAGGGAGAGAAGAGCACAGAAACAGAAAGATTATGCTGGATAGAAATTTGGCTCTAGAATGATCCTTGGAAGGAGAAAGAGGAAAGAGTTCCTTCCAGTCGTAAGGAAAAACAATTAGTGCTTCCTATCTTGTCATACTTATTTATTGCATTTGTAGATCATCAAATCAAGAAATGACTTCCAGCAGTATTTATAGCAGTAATAATAGTAGTAGTGTCTTCTTTGAGTTGAGCTCCACTCCTTGTGATATAGAGCCAACCATGTTTTCCTGGGTTACAGCATACAAACTTGGTATCATTAAACAGCGTGGTCCTTAAGCAAGTCACCTGGACCCAATTTTTACAACCATTTTTACAATGCTCATTATTAAGCCAATCACTGTGGTCATTAAGTGAATCATGTTAAATGAATCCAGCTTCTCCAACAGACATTTTTTGCTGGAATTCACTTAATGACCATGTGATTAACTTAACAACTGTGGTGATTTGCTTAACAACCATTGTAAAAAAGGTAGCAAATCGCAATCATGTGACTGGGGATGTGTGCAACAGTTTGTGACAGTAATAAGTGCGAGTACAGGTTGTAAAGCACTTTTTTGGAGGCGTTGATAACTTTGAACTGTTGTTAAATGAACAGTTGTTAAGTGAGGACTACCTATATTAACCAGTCCCAAATCTACTTAGCTTCTAAGCTCAGACAAGGGAACTGAGTGCTGCCATCTGTTGAATCACTTTTGTGTCAGGTGTTAGGTCATACTTTGGAGGCCTTCACTACCACCAGTATGTCACTGCTGAAATTAAGCTATCCAGAACAGGCTATCAGCAATATTCACATACAGGTAGTCCTTGTTTAGCAACAACAATTGGGACTGGCAACTTGGTCATTAAGCAAAGCGGCTGCTAAGTGAAACTGCGACGGTGCTTATGACCTTACTTCAACTTTGCTTTATAGACCTGTGAAGGTCATAAATGTGAGGACTAGTCACAAAATTACTTTTTCATCACCATCTTAACTGCGAATGGCTGCTAAACGAGTCAGTTGCTAAATGAGGACTACTTGTATGTTATAAGCCCTTGAAAAACAGGGATTCGTGTACACATTTAAATTTTTTTATCTCTCCTGAGCCACTGGCATCCTTTGGTATAGAAATCAAATACATATTTGTAAGTATATGTGCCACTAATCAGATACATGCATAGTATCCCAGGCCAAATGTGAAGAACCTCCGGAGGCAAATTCCTCTTTCCAGTCTTATGCTAAAGATGGTCTTATTGAATCTTTCCAGAACAAACCCAGAAAAAAATGGATTTTTTTCTTCAGCATCTAACAAGAAATGTAAGTTATTCTCAAGAATTCTTAATGCTCAGGAGAGTGGTACCAACAAATTTTAGCTCAGAAAAAATAAAGATGGCAAGAAAATATTGCAAGCTGGTCTCCAAAGACTTCCAGAGATACGGCCTGAAAAACTTTTTGTGATATTGAAAGAGCAAGCTGATGACTGACGACTAGCTGGGAGGGAAATGCTGTGTGTGCACAGCTTCTCCATAGGTTTACCAGGCACATTGTTTCATTTCCAAAGTCCTGGAGCAGCTTTTAATATCATGCAGGATGACATGAGCCATTTTTTAGGGTGATAAATGGTCTAGAATCAACAAAGGAAGTATGTAATGCTGGTGATACTTATTGTTACCATGGCTGCTCCTGGTTGGAGTCTACTTATTTAAAAAAAACAGCAAGAGGGCAGCAGTAGACAGTTGTTGGAAGGGACCAGAATTATTCCTGCGCTCAAAAACAATTACAACCAGGCTAAGTGAAAGGAAATCTGCCTCTAGGGAACTCATAAATGAAAATAAGTGAAAAAAAGTGTGAGATCTTTCTTTGATTTGGATTCCTCTATAAACCTTCCCATGTGGAGCAAACTTAATAGATTCCAATTTAAATTTACAATAATGCTTTCTTGATTGAAATAATCACACACTTGAGCAATACCATATAAATTTAAAATGTTTATATTTGGGGTCTGTTTTTCTCTTAAGGCAATATTACATGGGCTGTATCTCTCTTTTATTTCTCTTTTTATGCCATGGAAACACTTTCATGCCGTGCATTTTTCAGCTTTCCCTAATCTGAATTTTAACACTGAACAAACTAGTTTGTAACCACTGTGGGACTCTGCAATTTTCATAAAAGTGGTAGGGAAAACGTTGGTTCCTATTGGCTGAACTG